CTGTTCTTTCGCCTCATGTTCACTCGAACGGTTGAAAGGTAAATCAAAATCTACATAACATGATTTTGTAGTTTTAACAACGTACTTTCGTTAATCGAAATGTCGGACGGAACGTTTGGCAGATACGTCAGAGACCACCTTCTACCACGGAAACACAAATGGTCCACTGCTTTTCGACCGCCATCCACTCTCTTTGAACTGAGCAATACTAACTTCGTCGAGACCAGTCACCGAGTCTTGAAGATGTATCACCTTAATCGAAAAACACCGGTTCTCAGATCCATTTTCAATGTGCTGCTTCGTACTGGATATTGGATGGAAGCAAGATTACATAAATATTCAATGGATTGTCGGGGGAAAGCCGATATTGGTGAGGAGCCGGAAGTACGTCGACTTCAGGAACGACTGACACCAGTTGCCTGTCAACTACTGAAGCGACACCTTCGCATTCCTATAACGCAGTCTGCATTGACGGAAGATTTATTCACCGCTATGGACGCCACGGGGACGTACTACGTACACGTCGATACTAGCCGGTGCTCGTGTCCATTCTTCATTGAAAACGGATTACCATGCCGTCACATATTGGCTTACTGCACACACAGTAACACCGATGTGAACGTACAGTCAATTTGTGACAGGTGGTTACACTATGATGGTTATCTGACTCATATTGCAGTTGAAAATTATTTCCCAATGCAATTGAGTCAGCCAAGCATGAAGAATGCAGTGATAGCGTTAATCAGGCGAATGTCGGAGGAACAATGCAGTTCACTTCATGACTTCATAGTTCACGGTAGACTACCAACAACGCCAGTAAACTTGCATGTAGAACAGCATTCGTACACCCTTTCAAGAACCTCGACTAACGTAGCAGTGCCGTTTATACAACGAGGAACTGTTGATTTGGATGAAACGCTCAGTAACGATGAGGAGGAAGTAATTTCTATTAACTCCGAAGAGTTAACTGAACGGGACATCGAAAATGAAGAACAGGATGACGAGAATCGACTCTGCGACATCTGTAATCTTGCGCAGCCTCCATGTGAAACCGGTGATGCGGTTGGTTGGGTTTTCTGTAGATGTGAAGCAATGTTTCATACCTTCTGTGCCTACGACCCATCGCCGAACGTACGAGCAGTGCACTGTCCTATCTGTGGCGCCATTACAAACTAATAGTGACGACGTCCGACCGCGAGAACGAGTAAAGGCCCTTTTCAGGGCCACCCACAATTTGATTTCCATTATTTTTTATCTACTACTTTTCCGCGGCAAAGGTCAAGTGATTAAGCACCTATTAATGTCTCATGAATTTAGATATCCCTTAGAGATTAATAATGGAAAAGCGATTGTCGCTCATGTATTCGTAAACTTGTTTCTAACGTTTATTAGATATGAAGGTTAAGAAAACTTAGACAAGATTTTGTCATCTAATAAAGACTAATCTAGTAATTTTATATTTAAAATAATGTGATTACCGTTCATGTTTTAGTAACACATTTGAAATCTATCTAATAATAGTACATTTTGAGTACATTTTAATAGGAATATTTCAATATAGTGAAAATTGTAATTTTGTCGTTAGGTCAATGAATTTATGATGACATTTATTAGTGAATATTATTACAAAGATGAATGTGATTAAAGCTCATAGAGAAGTAACCAAAATTGAGAAAATTAACTTATTTAGGAATAAAATAATGACATTAGAAAACAAGTTGAAACCATCATCGTTGAAATGATTCATGTGATAAAAGGTCATATAGTAAGTGTAAAAAGAAATGCGAATATTAGCTGTTTCATGAATACAAAAAACAAGAATTTCATATTCTTGTTTTATATTAAAAGTTCCTGAAACCAGAACTATGCGTACGTAAGAAGTACGTCTGATCGTAAACTAAGCCTCCATTGTTATTCATAACTACTGATTATATCACCGTATTCATTTGCACACCTCTTCAACTATTTATTACTGGTACAATCACATTGTACCAGTTAAAAATTCCCTTAAAATATTCAAAAATAAAAAATAATTTAGCAAACAATCGTTTTCATTAACTTCATCATCACACTATACAGTTATTAGTCCATAATTTTAATATTTTATAAAGTCCAAAAATAAGGCATGGCATTAATGAACTTGACAATGTAATGTGTTAACAATGGTTAACGTTTACATCTGTAACGATATATATGTTTACAAATTAAAAAGGTCATTCACTAAAGATCGGGATGATTTGCAGTAAAGTGTTCAGTCACAGTAAGTGACTAAGCATAATAGGAAAATTGAAAATGCAAAAAAATTGGTGTCAATGAAATACATAGTACAAGAATTGAATCTTGTAAATTGACATAATAATAATAATAATAATAATAATAATAATAAGGAAATTAAATAATAATAACATTGTAAATGTCCGTTGATACAGTTGACCTTATTCATATTTATACGTTTAAAGTCGATAGATATTTGTTGACTCAGTCCGACGACGTAGGCTTGTTCATTTACACTTCATGAAACTAATACTTCAAATGCTTGTCAAAAATGGTTACATTCATAATGTCTAGATAATTCAGGTTTCATATTACGGCGGTTGACAATATTCACACATGACTGATTAAACACACACTAGTTTTTATTACAACCGAAAAATTAATTTTAAAATACAGAACTACAAATAATTTACAAGTGAAAATAATGAACCGTGTTTCAATGGATTTCCAAATTAACCGCATTGAAATCTAACGTTGTCTAATTCTCATTATGAATGACCATTTACAAAATAATCGTTTACTAAATATTAAGTGTCTATTTCGGAAAATTTATTACTACTTTCATATACTGTCTAAGTCAGTTCATTAAATGATGGTCTATGATTGCTTCACCTGAATTATACATATTGCAACCAGTAAGTTATCATAATGATTTATTGATATGTTGATTTGTTTCTCGAACTAACAGACCATGTGTTACAAAAAAACCTGTGCACACACTTTGGTGATAATTTGTTTATTAATTTGGTATTAAATATTTGACTACTGACCTCATTCAGTAATCCTTATTATCAAATATTCAAACCGGTTTTCGGTGGCTTTTTCCCAAAAACTTTCTTTTACTGAGATACATATAATTATTCGTGTTCAGATAATTAACGACTTCAATTCAAGGTATACTTGATCGGAAAACAAAAATTGATCCCAATACACATTCACTAACAGTAGGATTGCACGGTAATGCAATTAAGTTGGTGTCTTTTTCTTCAAAAGTCTAGATTTTTTTCAAGACTAAGATTACACAAAAAGGATTATTCATTATCATTAAATTTCAAATGTCAAAAATGAAAATTCTGACATCCAATCACAGCTCCAGATGCGATTTCGATTTCAACTAATCAGATTACAAAGATGAACCGTTTACGACCAATCAAAAAATTATTAAAGATAACACAATGTTTGTTCATTATCACTTGAGCACACACTTGAAAAACAAGTCCACCAATCAACGATACCTAAATTTTTCATTCACACCCCACAATTTTTTTAAAAGGGGTGGTAGGGAATCATATAGGCCGGTCACTTAATGTCAACCTACGTTTTGACAGTTCGGGGTCAATCATCAACCAACCCATTTCATATACATTTTAAATAATGGTGCGTATATATATATGCCTATATGTGTTGTACCATGATATACGTGCATGTTTATATATATTTGATAAATTACTATAACTACATATGTTCTATATTGTTTTTGAGAGGATACTAGTTAAATGAAGTTGTACACGCAACTATGGATGGATGTATGTTTGAATACAAAATAGACATGAATATATGATAAATGGTCATGTTTTGTATGTGTTTATTTGCGTTGGTTTTTTGATGAGGTTGGATAGAGAAATCTAAACGGAACCAAATAACAACTGTTATAACAATAATAACAACAGTGTAGTAATATTCTTATTCATACTCCCTCCTAGAATATATTTCCTTTTAGAGGTTATGTGTTTGTATGCATTTTTGTAAGTCTTCCTCTCCCCACCTCTCTCTCTCTTTTTCTCCGCCTTCTATTTGCTTCCTTTTCTTAGAGAACTGAATAAAAAATAATTAGGGAAATCGATTGTTTTTAAAGGAGAGAAAAATTATCCCTACCATTGTACATGGTATTTATCTTCCCAGATTTAGTTTCTCTACATTTTTTTCATTATTATTATTATTATTGTCGTATGTTGATGTGACCAACTCAATGATTAACAAAAGATTTCCACTATATCGTCATTAAAATTAATACTAACTGGTAAAGAAACATTGTTAGTAGTATGTATTTGTGAACGAAAAAAATAAATGAAAATTCCAACTTACGAAATTTGAAGACATTACGTAGATATATACTGTTGAACTGATTATTACTATTATTAGTATTTGATTACAGAATGTCTTGGAAGCATTATTCACGTATAATACAATCAATGACTTAGAAATTTTAAAGTTAGACATAAGATAGAAACACAAGATAATTAACAGCTAGTTAATAGGATCCACAACAACTAAGTTGGTTAGGATATTATTTTGTGTAAGTATAAATGGGGGAAAATTTTAATGATGGTAATCATTTTTATGATTTTGTATGATTTTACAATTCCGAATGCGGGATTCGAAACCATAACCTTTGGTCTCGCATGCGAACATAACCTCCCGCGTGTGGAACCGTGGATGTGTACTATTGAGGAGTTCCATACTAAGACGAAAAGACTATCCAGTGCTTTCAAGTTTTCAATGATGGTCCATAATTGATAGATTCATGATCTCAATAAAAAACTCAACAATCTCCACAACCCCATCTTGACATAGAAGTACACTAAACTTCATAATAATAACAATTCATATTATTGGAGGTTTTCTATATTATTTTATTATCAACATTTTGAAACTGTAATTGATTGGTTAATCATACTCTTCCACTTTGTGATCCTTGTTTTTCTTCATTTGTTTTCTTTTTTCAGAACTCTCCTGATACTTATACATCAATGCCTCGTATTTCAACTAATCGAAATACATCTGTATATTCTTCTTCTTCTTCTTCAAGTAATAAACAACTTAGTAATAGTAATAATATGACTAATACTAAAACATCACCAGCTGATATAAATTCCACTTGTGATGAGCATAATAATAATTCTAGTATAAATACTATTCCTACTTCTATCACAACTATTTCAACATTAAACCTTCATAGTCATCATCCATATCATCCTGCCAATGTGTCGTCAACAACAACTTTGTCATCTTCAGCATCGTCTATTTCCACTGCCTCCTTATCCACTTCGTCTATTGATCCCGGTTTAGTAACGATGTCTAATTTAAATACAACATGTATTGGTACAGATCAGTCAACAGTAACAACACCAGCATTGTTGACAAATGAATCATCTAATTCATTATCGTCAAGATCATGTGATTCAACAACATCTAATCTTATTGTAAATTCTCCTAATCGTTCAGTAACGACAACAAATAATAACAACAATACTAATAATAATAATGTTAGCAGTAGTAATAGTACAACAAAACGCAAAAATAGTCCAACAACTACTGAAGATGATTTAACTACTGCCAATACAAATAATAGTAACAATAATAACAATATACAATCATACTATTCCACAACATATCCAAATACATCAACAATAGCTGGATCTAATAGTTTGATGCATAGTGGAATTTCTATCGCAACCGGTGGAATAAACAATAACACCAATACTATGAATAATAATAATTCCCATCGTTTATCTTCAAATAATCCTGTTACTGGTGGAACACATTCCCATTTAAACTATTCTGATATTAACTCAAGACATGTTGGCAATAATATGTCACAGTCGAATTTGTCTAATTCAACAGCGTCAGTGACAGCTTCCACTGGATCAGCAAGTATACCAGGTGGAGCCAATTCAGGATCTTTAAATAATGCTGTAAATACTGGACATGGTATGAACAATGCTGAAACAACTATTCATAAAGCAAGATCAGCTTTATATGAGTAAGTATATATTGTGGTTTTTAAAGATAAAAAATTATGTCTGTCTGTCGAGTATATATGTCATAGACTGGTATAATCAAAATCATTAGAAATTATTGGAAAAGCGTTTTGTCCTTGTCTGAATTTCGTCAGTAATGTGTATTTATAATCCCAAACAGAATGGAATCTAGGAAATAGAATTTTCTTAATATTTAAATTAGTTTTGAAAATCAGTCACTATACATGAACATGGAACTAGCTATTCAGTTTTTTTATTCCCAATTATTTTCTGTATGATCCCATTCTGCTACTAAATCCATATTCCATTTGTAAAGACTTCATAAATATGTTGTTTAACATAATGTACTGAAATTATTAGTTAGACAAGTATTGTAAAACAATGACAATGGACAGATGTTTCGTCTTAGTATGGAACTCCACAGGAATATGGATCCAAAACACCGTCAAGTGTTGCACCCAGGACTTTTAGGTTTAGTGTTGGTTCGACGTATTTCATTACAATTAATATAATTTTTAAATTAAGCAAAACTGAAACTTCCTACATCATTATGTCATCTTTAAAAACGTAATTTTCCCAAAATACTAAATGATTATAACGCTTCTTGGAACTATTGTAGTAAGCCAATTCAACTATTATATTATTTATCTACTCACTGTAATTTAGACACTTGATCCACCCTGTAATTTTCTCTGTGAGTCTGAATGAGCACATGTGAAACTTTATTCTATCCTCCCATTGGTTGTAATACACAGACAATCAATAATTTATCCATACTTGATTAACACTCACAAATATATAAGGGTTTTTAACACTCACACACTCTTGTTTTCCCTGTGTGCTTGCTTCCTGTACGCTTGCGGATTTTTACCAATCTTTGACTATAAACTATCTCTATAACTGATGTTCAGGCTTTTGAATAATCTCGAGTAAATCCATAATTCCATTTAGAGATTTAGCCTGCATTAAATACTCAGTTAACGGGATACTATTTATTGGAGTCAGATATAGGGGAAATTCGCCTCTACACTATCATTCTCTGTTCTACTAGTATCTAACAATTTCTTATTAGCATAGGTAAATTTTCCTTATCGTCAGAACTGTAAACTTAAAAAGAGTCGTACAACTATTGTTTTGTGTAAATGTTCTGCAAATATTGTACTCTGATTGAATAAACACTATGGAGCCCAGTCTATTCGGGATTAAATTTAAGTTTGTTTAAATGAATCTAATTATACTGATGTAAATGATCTATTTACCTATGCTTCATAAGAATCGATCTATCATATATTACTTGATTGGTTGAGATCAGCCTAGTCAACCAATCAGAATGATCGGGTTACGTGATTGGTTCAAAATTCAGATGGCTTTCTCACTATTTCCATAAGTAACAATAGAAACGTTCATCTATTCACTAGTTAATTAAGTGTTTATGGTTAGTTCAGTCCTGTTTGGAAGTCATTTTATTTAGGCAATGAAATCAACTGAGAGGGAAGATGTACTCATAGCTCCTTTTATCCTAAGTTTTGAATGGTAAAACTATTTCGCTGCTGTAATCTTATCAAAAGAGTCAAATTATATGATTTCATTCCATAGTAAAGTTGAGATCCAACTCTTATACTTTTAGTGTTATAATCCTATCAGTAATAGTTTTACGGATTTAGCTTGGAGATGGAAAAGAAAAATTAAATGTTGCTAAAAATATAATCATTAATTGTTGATCAGTTGTCGGTTACCACAAACATCAACTGAAGAATTGGTAAAAATCTTTGTACTTGATAATAATAATATATATATTCGTAGGTGATTTAAGATTGTCCTAAAGGGGGAATAAGAATTATTTCTTCATCTTAATGTTTCATACATTAACAACGGTTGTGCAATATTATACTTGACACATGAAATGACAGTGGTTTACTTAATATAATATAACTGGGTTTACAGGCGGAAGGTCCTGGGTTGGGGTTCCTCGTGCAATATCGTGGATGTGTACCATTGAGGAGTTCCGTACTAGGACGAAACGGCCGTCTAATGCTTCCAGGTTCTCAATGATAATCTAACATAGATCCATTCATGACATCAATCTAAGTTTACTTTATGTTTAAAAGAATAAAAAAATCCTCGTTTATTTTAGTGATTTTAAAGATAATATCATTCCATAGGTTAAAGGAAGCTGGATCGTTATATTTTATTCAATCAACTAATATTGATTAGCTGCTTACTATAGGGTACGACATCAGTTTATGAAGTTACTATTCTCTGGTCTAATTTATATTGCTAAATACAAACTGACCTATTGTAGGATCTATACCATATTTGTAACCAGTCGTTATCGACTGGTTTACTCACTGAGTGACTGGTTAGTATCTGCATCCCAGAGTTGACATTCACTTCGGGACTCGAATCCAGTACCATTCGCTAAAAACACCATCGTTTTATCCACTTAGTTTCTGAATTCTGATAACCACTTGCTTATGCAATGGGGTGAAGTTTAAATTCATTTTGTATTGTTTATTTTAATGTTCCGATTGATGTTTAGGACTGCAATTGATCAGTCTCTTTTCGGCATATATGCATCCTGTGTGGATTTACTCGATATTACATTAACCTACAAGCATTATAAGCAAAGATGGATAGTGATTAGCAGTGGAATTCAGGAATTTATGTAAATATTGGTTTGAAAAATGGAACCTATAGACAAAGAATAATCTTTGTCATGTTATCTTAATCCTATCTAGTTGTTATTTATCAAACGAATGAAAGTTTTTTTTTTAAGATTTAACTACTGAACAGAATTTATAAATTCTATCTTCTTTCATAATCTGGTATGATATTTAAAGATTTGACTTTGTGATACCATAAATTGTTGTCAATATTTAATGATTGTGACTTTATTTCACACACACACACAGAGAGAGAGACACACACAAAATATCATCGTAATAACAATAAAGATCAGACTTAAAGTGTAGTGTAGAGAAATTTTCATACCGTTTGTATATACACATACATATCTATGCGTATATATAAGACAGTATAGTCGAATATATAGATAGATACAGGGAAATAAAAAGATAAGGCATTGATGTTTGGCTATTCAAACGATAACACCATAGATGGATATGTGCTTATTTATATGTTGGCGTTGTTGCTTCTACCATTATGGATGTTGTTAGTTTAAATTCTAAAATTCCATTTATCAAATCTGTCAAAATTAAACTATTTTACACGAAAGACTATTACAATGTTGTTTAACTTATATGAAATTTCTATACACATAAACAGGAATTGGTCATGTATGGCTGTAGGTGTATATATATATATATATATATATATTTATATATATATATATATATATCGGTATGGTCCCCTTTCATTTTCACCTGTGATGGTTATTCTTAGTATCACATAATTTCTTTTTCAAAAACAAATCATTCCTTATTGCTTCTGCCTTTGCATAGGTATTTACGTATGCGTATGCGTATACATGTAGGTTATAGAAAGAAATTCATCATGATAATACATAATTTTTTCCCTTTCGGTTTCCCTTATTCTTTTCTGTCTTCCTATGTAGTAAACATTGCTAAATTTTGTTTGTTTGTTTGTTTACTCGTTCATTAGCTTATTATGTCTATTCAAATCTGTTGTATTTCCGCTTGAAAATAGTAGTAGTAGTAGCAATATTAGTTATTATTAATATATGGTAACTTGTTCTCATAACTTGTTCATCTAGTCACGTTAATTTAGCTACTAACGGAATAAAAAGGTGAAATTAGTTTCATAAAATTTCTTTCTTAATTTTTCATCCTACCGATACAGAATAACATAGTGTCCTTGTGTGTGTGTATGTATGTATGTATGTGTATATACGTATGTGCATGCATTTGTCACAAAGGTAACACATAAAAACAAAGTCAAAAAAAGACAGAAGGCTAGAGCAATAACAAATATCGACACTTCCACTTATTTATTTCGATCTTATTCCAAATAGGATTGGCGCGTTTCCATTTCCTTGTTTACTGTTATAATTTCTTCCCATTCCGTTCTTTTCGGATGATCTTATGTCAAGATAATTCGTTTTTCTACCAAAATTTTCCTGGTTAACATTCTTTTTAAGTTAAAACCCTATTATATATGTATATATCCACATATATCCATAAAGCCATTAATCATTTATCTTCTGATGCTCTCTCTCTCTTCCCTCTTTCATTTCTACCCTCCCTCACCTTTCTTTTCTCCATATCCATTAGTTTTCTATCGTTATTTTCCACGCTCTTTCTTTCGTGTTTTTTTTCTATTTTTCATTCATTCTATAGGCATTATTCTTGTGTTTTGCCTGACTTTTTTCGCTACTGGAATCGATCATTTCTTGGTGTTCTTTAAAATCAAAAGAAATATACCTTAGAGATAAATAATATTTAGACTTAAAACATAGAGGTTGGGGTTGGGGGTGGGAAATGTGGAAAACTATAAGATATAGAAACAAACAAACTACTAGTCAAAAAAACCAACAAAACAATCTGAAGAGTTTCATTCTAAGTAATTTAAGATACCAAAAACAAATTGAAATTGTGATCAGTGAAAGAAAATCTCTTTTATTGATACAATCATTACTAACAGAATAAAGATTTATATTTAACAATAAACATACATGGATATATGATCTCAAATTTGTCGGGGGTTTGGGATTCACCATTATGAATGCGTTAGGGGACTACGTGGTTTATATAATAAGTATGTACTTGAAATAAGATTTTTGAAAAATGTAGTTTTTAAATGTGACATTTTAAAATCTAAGAACGAGAACCTCTTTTTTGAATATCTGCAATAATACAGTGCTAGGATGATCACTGACTTCTTGTGTCCGTTTAAACATCAAATATCAACTGTCTTTTCTAATCTTTGATATTGATCATTCATCCATTTAGATCATTGTTGATAATTGATGGAATTCAGAAAATTTTTTAAATTGGACACAACTGTATATCAGAATGAATGAATG